GCCTTTATCCACACAGTCTGCTCTCAGCGTCAGAACCAAACCTGCCGGGCTGTGAACCCAGAAGAAGCAGAGCTGCAGCCCACAGATGGAGCCGACCTTCCCCCTGCTGGACCACAAAGACCTCTTTGAGCTCCGATAGCCTATAAGAGCAGGCGGGGGAAGATCTGGGCTGAGTCTCTGTTACAGTACGAGCGTCATGAGATCTGCTCTGCATGAACTCCTGAGCTGTCTGTGAACGCCAACGTGCTGCAGAGGTACAGGTGGTCTACACAGAGACATCTGCTCCACATAGATCTATATGAAACTGACCAACATGAACCTGCAATAAAAACCAAAAGAGTGAAACTCTAACCAACAGTGACCCTGTTCTCTACTGACTCAGTATTTAACAGAGTAACTCTGGTCCATCACTGAGGACTTACTGATGTTATCACTGAGAGAAAACCCGATAACAAGAACCAGAACCAGGTCAGTGTGGTCATCACTAAAACCCTCTGAATAACTTAAATTCACAGTAAATACGTCATAATTTAACCGCTCAGTACTTCAGTTAGTTTGAACAGCCCCTCAGGTGGAAACTCAGATAAAACTCGACCGCTCCAAACGGATCAGAACCGCTGGTTCTTAGTGGAGGAACCAGAACCAGAAATACTTTAATAATCTCCAGGGGTAAACTGCTGTTCCTTATAGTAACTCCAGTGCAAATAAAGTAGAAAGAGGAGATAAATAATAGATAAAATAAGTAAAAATAAAGAGATAATAAACAAGTATATTCACTATATACAGCACAGTAAAACAGTCTGTATATAAACAGTGAGCAGAGTCCAGGTAAAGACTGAGGGGGTCCGGGTCTCAGAGGGAGGAGTTAAAAAGTCTGATGACCACCAGCAGGTCAGACTTCCTGGAGGAGAGTTTAATCTGAAGTTTAATCTGAAGTTTAATCTGAAGTTTAATCTGAAGTTTGTCTCTAATCCTGAGACTTCCATCAGAGTGAAATTATCACAGATTCACCAGGAAACTCAGTTATTCAGGAGGTTCTGGTCCATATCAAACTGGATCAGAACTTCTCCTGACTCAGTTAAACTGACGGTGATATTGGAGCTCTTTCTCTGTGTTTTGGTTTTTCTCATGACTTCTGAATCTTTAAATTTATTCACTATCAAATGTTAATTTAATAATAAATACGATCATGCAGAGATCTCGAATCATGTCCCCGTGTTTCGGCTCATCTGATCCTTTTACGTTTGTTTGTTATGATGTTTATGTCATACTGTAAATGTTCATTTTCAGTGTTTTTTCGGCCCAGTTCTGGAAATTCTGCTTGTTCTGTGTAGATTTGGTTTCAAATCGGCTTCCTGCAGAACAAATCTACTTACAGATGAAGTAACAGGAGCCTGAGGTGACCTGCAGCGTTAAAATCTATCATGTGTGCGTGAGCGAGAGTACGTCACACTCACTCAGACCAAACATACTGGACCTGAGGGGTCATTAGAGGTCAAACATGGCGGAGGTCAGAGCAGTGTGAGAGCACACTGACAGGACAAAGACAGAGACGTGTCCTGACTCCACCCAACAAGGACGGCTGAAACTAAACTGAATAAACCGTCAAACTGTGTGTGTTAACAGAAATACATCCAGGAGGGGGGTCTGCTTCAGACACACAAACAGACACACAGACTTCATCCACAGTGACAGTCCAACCTACCAGAGCGTCTGAAGACACATGATCTGAGGGTAAAGAAGAGGTGGCAGCTGATGCATCATCACTGCAGACAAGTTAGCATCAATAGAGCTGGAGAGCATCATCATCAATCTCTCTCTGCAGAGACAAAAGTATCTCTCCATGCTAAATCATCAAATCAATGCATTTCTATCACTGAGAGGGATCGCTCGCCCACTGATCTGTGCGGCTGAGTAATGTGAAATCTATCACAGGTTAGTCCACGCGGCCCGGACAAGACCAAAGACAAGACCCCAGAAAAAGTTGGTATTGATCCGGAGCTGCAGAGGTGAGAGCGAGGAGGAGGAGCGGCGTGAGAGGAATCAGAAAAACACTCTGCATGAAGGAGGCGATCGGATATTTGGAAACAAGAGTCTCTGTGAGAGAAGGAGACCTCCAGCCGGGGTTAGACCATCAGTCTGTCCAATCAGAGACAAACGTTCTCCAAATTAGACCCGCTCTCTTTATTTAAACGTGTAAATCAGCAGGAGTCGAACCCGTCCAACCCCTCTCTTTGGACCTGACTGAGGTTCTGAAATTCTGGCTGAACTACAGAGAAGTAAACGCTGCTGTATGTGGTCGTTTAAAGCGGTTCGCTCACTCTTACCTTTGGCCACTTGGGGTTGAACTCACAGGCTTTCTCTGCGTCGTCCAGCGCCGCCTGGTGTTGTCCCAGTTTGAGGAGCGCCGCTGAGCGGTTACTGTACAGGATGCAGTTCTGCGGGTCGGCCTGCAGGGCGTTGGTGTACAGATGAACCGCCGTCTCAAAGTCTCCACGCTGACACGCCTCGTTGCTCTGCTGCACCTTCTCCATGAACTCCGCCTTGCTGAGACCATACCTGGCCCCGCCCTCTCCAGAAACACACCTGATGGGTCGCCCCGCTGCCCGAGAGCTGAAGATCGAAAACTGGAATAAAGACAGAGAGAAGAGCGAGAATCAAAAACAGCATAAAAAACTTAAGAAAGGGACGCCTGCTATGAGCACCTCTGCAGTTGGAGTGGGAGGAAAGATCGATACAGCAGAGTATCACCATGTTTTGTCTGGTGATATATCATATTATCTTATTGATCCAGTATCAATTCTTTCTAATTAATTGCCAATATGAACTCAAGTCTATGATAATGGAAGAATAAAATCAGCTGTTTGTCCAGTGAAGTTGGCAGAGGTGACGTTACAGAGCAGGAGAAAGTTAGTACAACAAATATATATATGAGGTTTGTAAGATGAGCGACATGAAAATAAAATACAGAGTAAATAAAACAAACATAAAGGAAAGACAAATGCTACTTTCACTAAACAGTCGAAAAAATATGTGTAGATCACAATAAACTGTATCCTGATACTCACTGTACTGCAAAATGTTAAAAACCGCGATGATATCTATCATGGCCCAAGTATCGTGATAATATCATATTGTGGGGCCACTACTGATGCCCACTCCTACTCTACAGATATAATATATACAATAATGATAATACTACATTTTATTTGTATTGCCCTTTACGTCCAGGGACCTCCAAGGGTTACATGCTAAAAGCAAAGAAATATAAAAGCAGGTTATTGGTTAAAAACAAGAGAAACTATATTACAAGCTATAATACGTGCTATTATTATATACTATTCTCCATACTATACTATATACAATATATCACATAATATACTACATATTTTACTATATACTACACAACGTATTATACTTCATACTTTACTATATACTATTTTTCATACAATACTAAACTATATTACATACTTTATTATATACTATATAACATACTACACTACACACTATATAGTATACTACATAATATACTTCATACAATACTACATACAATCCTTCATATCATTCTGTACACTTTACTATATACTATAATACGTACTATTCTTTATATTACAAATTATATTACATACTATACTACATACTATTCTTCATACTTGACGTCACACTGTAGCCCACACTCTCTTTTTTTGGTCACATGAACAGTTATCAGTCAAATCTCCAGGAGAAACACTGAAATAAAGGCCGACAACAACAACAACAACAACAACAACACAGCAGCTCCATGTTCATCAAACTGAAGGTCATGGTCCACAGTGAAGAAATGGACCTCCTCCACAGAATGAACTCAGAACCACAGACCCTGGTTCGGGCCCAGGTCTCAGGATAATACAGTAATACAGGTGGTTAATCCCTAAAGTTTAAACCTTCAGTTGGATTAGTCTGCAGAGATAATCAAACACACTGACGCTCTGTTTGAAAGGCCTCTCTGTTCCTTTCAGTCTGTCTGATAACCATTGAAAAACTCCTCACTGGAGCTTTAAGACCAAAAAGACAGAGGACAGTTTCTCTGACATGAAACAGAAGTTAATAGGAAATGTTTTTCATCAAACTAACACAAGCTCTTTAAATGCAGTTTGATTCTCACACCAGGTCCCTCTGTAGGAAGATCCCGGCATCAGTCTGACTCATCAGGGGGGTGAGTCCTGGATCTGTTCAGGGGTGACGGTTTGCTGACTGTTACTGAATCCTGAAACCCTCTCGGGTTGCATGTTTTCAGGACCAGCTTCCATTATAGGCTACCTCTTTCTCACCACACCTCCTCAGACTGAATTCTGGGATAGGGCAGGCCGGGTAATTACTTCCAGAAGCCCGGGGAGTAAAAGCAGGAGACATGAGGGCTTTTGGTGAGCGAGCCAGTAGATCTGACTTCCAGTTACACTCTGAGCAACAATCCGTTTACTTTCAGCACCCTTAGACCTCCATCAGCTCCAGGGTTTCTCACTCTTTTCATTTTAAACAGATGAATTAACTTTTCCATCACATAATGCTTCACTTTGGCCGGACTTTAAAAAGGTCCACTCTTGAATCCCTTCTTCTAACAGCCAATGAAACACCTGCAGATCACTTATGCTGCTAAACTGAGAGGGTAAACCAGCAGGAGGGTGCAGACAGGAGTGTTTACTGCTGAGAAAAGGCATGCTACCTCTCAGAAATAACACTACAGCCTATCAGGACAACTAACAGCACCGGTCACGCATGCCTGCAGTAAAGGTTAGCTCCAAAGAAATACCAGGATAAGCATCTATTATTGATTAGTGGGCCCAGGGGCCAAGAATGTGCAGGGTTTCTCCAGAAAGAGTCCCTCTAATCCGGCTGGTTAGCAGAACCAGAGGAGGGGACGGGTGCTACTGTCTCATCTGCTGCAAAAACAGGGAGCTGACAACTGCAGAGAGGACAGGAAGGGTGGAGAGAGAGAGAGGGAGATAAGAGCCAGAGAGAGAGAGGGCACACCACCAACTTCATTACAGGACAGTTAGAGGAAACACAGACTACACAGATCATCCCTTTAATTTACTGCATCTGTGCAAAAACCCCTCTGTTCATGCAAGAGTGGAACCAGTCCGGATTATTGACACTCTTTAGAAACTCTCTTTAGAATCACTCTTTAGTGACACTCAGTCTGGGTCACTCTGACTGTCCTGCAGCTCAGCAGCTCAGCACTTCAGTCTGCAAAGCTGGAAAATCGATAGAGGACTTTTACGAGGTTTTCGCAGCAATGGTCATTCGGTATTTCCTGTCCAGGATAGGAGGTAAAAAGTGATTTTCAGGGGACAATAAAACGACAACAGCGACACAAAGGTGTGGACTCCTGTGTGTGAGAGAGAGTTAGTGAAGGATGTGTTTGATATCCGTGTACCTTTTCTTTCAGAGCCGTTTGCTTCTCCATCCTGAGTCTCTCTGCTTCGGTTTGTCAGACGGATTCTCGCTCTCATCCCTCCACACTCCTTCCCCTCTTTGTGTCCACGGTTCAGGGTCCAGGAGGGGGTCCAAAAGTCCGACAAAAGTCCACGCTGATGACCGAGAGTCGACGAACTGCGAGGAAAATCCACGAAGAGCGAGCTGTGTGGCGTTCAGGAGAAACTTTTCTCAGGGAAAGTGCGCCATGTTGTCAAATCTTTTCCTTTTTTTTTCCTCCGTTTTTTTTTCCTTCTGTTGCCATCGAGGATTTCAGAGCAGAGCTGAGCAGAGGGAGGCATGAAGGTCTGAGGAGGCATGAAGGTCCGAGGAGGCATGAGGGTCTGAGGAGGCATGAAGGTCCGAGGAAACCTGGAGCAGAAAAACCCACAGATGAAGGAGTGAAGAACTCAGACAGGAGCCTCATTTCTGCTGCAGGAACATTAACTATTATCCAGAAAATAACAGGACCCCTCAGGTGGGGGTGGTCTCAGGTGCTGCAGGGGTTCAGGTGAAATATGTGAACACCTGTGTCGCGTGCACGCTCTAATTAGTGGCCCACCTGTGCAGTGATGCTGCGTTCAAGTCCTCCTCTCACTCACAGATGAAATAAAGTGTGAATATATTAAATTCTGGGCTGAGTTTATGACTCTGTGTTAAAGTTAGAAGATAACCTTTAATACAGAGGTTCATATGAACACACACACTCTTTATGACTCTGTCTTAATCACAGTTAAACTCTCCTAAAACAGCGTTCACTCATTTTCACTATAGTACATGTCTGCAGATCCACAACCCTGTGTGCGCCCCTGCTGGACAGAGTAGGTCACTGCATGACAGATCCACAACCCTCTTTTTAACCGCTGTGACACATCTGTGTTTGTGCCCAGAAATTTAATTTAATAAAGTTAATAAATGAATAATTGATCGCAGTCACACATTATTATCCAATCAAAATAAAAAGTCTTTAAATTTGTGAAGGTAGTGTTCAGTTCTTTGGACTCGGCCCACTTCCTGTCAAGGATTTAAAATTTATTTTAAAAATAAATTAGTCCCCACAGTCACATATTTAGATATTTATCTAGATTTTAATGATTTCAAAACTTTTTACTTATTATTTTATGTATTGTCTGCCAACCTATAATATTGCAGGTTTATTCTACCAAAATATAAACTTATATTATCCTAATATCACAGGGATTGACCTCGCTGTTATACTCCTCATGATGATTTTGACCCCCTGAATGTGACAGTCTGTGTCTGCAGAGCCCATGAATCTGATATTTTCTGTGTTTTTCTCGTATATTTTTAATGTGTAATCTCATGAACATTATTAACACTTCTGTTTCATTTACTACAATGATAGTAGCATACAGGTCAAATCGTACATTTACGACTTTGACAAGCTAATGTTAGCATTAGCTTGACCAAGATTCAGTGTTCAGTTCAGACGATCATGGAAAATGAAAAATGTCATAAATAGAGCCGATCATTGACATTTATTTCAAATCCAAGACAACAGTTTTATTAATGACTAAAAAAAAAAAGATGTGATTCACGTTTAATACTCAATCATGACGTCGCTCTATTCAAGCCAATCACATTCGAGAAAAAAAGCAGCGGTTAAGAAGAGGGTTGTGGATCTGTCACAGTTGTGGATGTGCTTGGCTCTCCGGCTTGCGATATTTTTTTTTGTGGGATGGTAGGGGAAAGTCCGATGTCCCTCGCCTCTGATTGGCTAGTAAAGCTGGAAAAGAAAAAGTCTCACTATTACAGTCCTGAACCATACTTTCATGTGACCAGCAGGGGGCGTCTGCACTGCTTTGAATGCAACTCAGTGTAAAAAAAAACTTCTGTCATCATCTCCTCCTTCCTATTAAAGAAAGGTCATAATCACAGGTGTGAGCTGCAGGTCTTTTACTGTATGAGCAAAACTAAAGTCAGAACAGATAAAACAGAGTTTGTGTTACAGGTTTCACAGGTGAGTTTTACTGTAAACAAATGAATTTGGGCTTAGCGCCTCAATTCAGAAAAACAAACACAGTAGAAAAGTTCAGAGGATGGAGACCGAGCCGTTCATTTTTCTTCTTGAATTTTCTCTTTATTACAAAAACCAAAAACAGACACATTTAAAACCATAAAAAACGTTCCTTTGTGCAAGAATGTCCATGTTAAAATGTCCATGGTAGGAGGGTCTCTGTGTCTCTTTAATAAAGTCCACTTCTCATGCTTTCTCTCCTTTTTAACATTAAATACTCATTTTTAAAGGCAGGATGAAACTTTTCAAAGTTAAGACTGAGTTGTAGACAAGGTTTAATAAAATCAGATAAGACACATGAATTCATGTAAATTAACCCGATGCTAGAAAACAGTAAACCTGCCCTTTAAACTGCAATATAAGAATATAATATACTACAATATAAAACAGCTTCAATCAAATATATCAGACAAACTAAATAGGAAACATTTCTTAATTTAAGCAACAGTTGAGTTTAAATCTACAAGACTCAGGATACTTTTCACTTCAACAGAATACCTCAATAACCTTATTTCTGAATCATATGAACATCTTTCTCACATCAAAACAGGTAATACTAAATTATATATCAAGTGTTCAGTGTTTCAGCTTTAAATATAATGTTTAATATAGATGTACATCTTAACGCTAACAGTGAACTTAAATCTGAGGGGATGTTGGTGTTATAAATAATCTTTAAAAATAAAGTTTAGATAGATAGCTAGATTATAAATTACACAGGTTGTAGGATGGTCGTTTCCCGCGCAGAGCGGTGGCGCCATTTTCATCTCTCTTTCTAAGTCCATAAAACTCACTAAAGTCCGTCAACAACACACTTCAAACTCGTGCTAACTTAAGTTTAACTTTGTTTAGATGTAAGAGTTTAAATATTGTGGATTTAACATTTTTACAAACCTGAAAAACACCGAAGAAATGTTCAGATGGAGACCGGAACCTTTCATTTTCCCTCCAGAATTAGGGGGTGGTCCGTCCAGAAAGTCATCCGGGCACAACACACCCTGGAGCATTAATTCCCCTCTCTTTTTTTTTTGTTTTTGTTTTTATTTTGTTGGCGGTTGGCAACCAACGGAAGGAGCCTTACCGCCCCCTACTGGATTACAGTGTGACACAGGAAATTATGCAGAAAAAAGGCTGATTAATTCTCCTCTTTATTCTCCTCATGAACTAAAGTTCTTCTCACCTCAAATGTGTCTAAAATAAACACTTGTGTTTTCAGTACGTAATGAAAATGTCTTTACATTTACAGAGACTGAAACTAACCTTCACCAACAAACAAAGGGATGTTTTTAATTCTTCTTATTCTTCTGGTTGAAGGTTCATTTAGGTGTTGTTCCTGAAGACAGTGGACAGTCTGGAGGTGAGTTAGAAGTTTGTTTAGTAAAGCATCATTTGGGACAGACTGGAGTATCTGAATCAGTAGCTGCGTCCGAATTGCCAAGTAGTAGTCGAAGTAGAAGTCGAAGTAGTATCTAGCATGTCCGAATTGGCCACCGGAGCGAGTAGCATGCTACTTCAGATACTACTTCAGATACTAGACACGCCCACATTGTAGGTTGGTCTCGGTGCATCCTACGGGCATGCTACTGACCCAAAATGCACCACGGGCTTCTTCTTCGTCCTCTTAAAAGTTGTAGAAGCGCATGTGATGCTAGCGCCACCAGCTGCTCTGCCTATTTAAATGTATCGCGAACGCCGGCTGGCCACAACAGCGCGCACCATGTCGCGGGACCGCAGCAGTACAGATGTAAGTTTCATGTAACTTCACACACTGTCCTAAAAAATGTGCGGTTGTATCTCTTTGTCATGTCATGGTGTCATATTTGCCCAAGTAATCATTTTATGAGCAAATATGTGGCGACATCATGGAGGTAAAGCTCACTTATTCCATCATTAAACTGCACAGCTGCAGTACTACAGCCAGGCCCGCAGATGAGGGGCTTCAGTTACCACTGTCTGCACGGGCGCAGTACCTACTCTCTGCCTGCGGGGGTCGTCTTTCCCCACCGCTCGTCTAGTGTGTCCGAATTGGGCCAACGTGTTTAGTATGTAGGAGTAGGATCTAGCAGTAGCACGTAGCAGTAGCATGTAGTATCCGAGCGGGCAGTTCGGACGCAGCAAGTCTTTCAGGGAACAGAGGACTGTCTGCACATGCAGCTCTTCACCAGCAGGTGGCGCTACAGGCCTGAAGAAAAGTATGTGATGATCCTGAAGTTAGGAGCAGAACAGACTGTAAAAACAGGTGAGAGTCTGATCTGCTGAAAACTGAAGGATTTATAAAGAGACTCAGAGTTCAGGTCAGCTGTGAGGAGGAACATCAGATACTAACAGACCTTCATCCTGCTGCTTCCATCCATTTAAGTTCTGACTTCTTTACATTTATATTATATTTATATTCTTTAATAAAAGATCCTAGACTGTCTTCTGTTGAACATTTTCTTTTGTTGTTACTTTAATGTTATGTTTTTACACAGGTATGTCAGAGAGGAGCCGTTCCTTTGAAGTACAGGCGATAATCTTCACAGTGTCCTCCTGTCAGAAACATGTTTATTGTTTTGGACACGTCCCTGTCCTCTGATCAGAGAGGTCAGAGGTTATAAAAAAGGTCAGAAGTGACTCAGCAGTTTTCACGATTCTTTAACTGTTAATGACTTTATTGGCAGCTATAAAAAGTTAACGTTCTCTTTTACCTCTTTTATCTTTTCTCTTATTTTGACTTACTCTCCTTTTAGCCTTTATTTACCTTTATTTTACTCTTTTCTTATTTAACCTTTTAGGTCTTTTATTGATTTTATTGTTTTGACCATCCTGTTTCCTGATTTCTACCCCCTCTTTTCTATTACATTTCTTCTTCTTTTACCTATTTTATCTTTTTATTTCGGTCTCAGTTTATGTTGTCGGTTCTTGTCTGGGTTCCTTATGAAAAATGAAATTGGCCTTTAATTCAGAGGTTTTTAACCGAGCTTTTGTTTTTATTTTCATGTGCTGATGGTCTGAACTTTAGGACTACATGTCAAAGAACTTTGTAAACTTCTGTTTTTAATTGTGATATAAAAATAAAGTTATTATTATTATTATTATTATTATTATTATTATTATTATTATTATTATGTGTGCTGATTATGTGCACACTGTGAAAGCTCACATGTGTTTTCTGGACTCTTTACTGAACATCTGTATTTATATTTATATCTATAACATCTATGATAGAAAACAAACATTTGTGGTTTAGTTGGTTGTTCTGAATTTTCCTCCTCTAAAGAAGATCATGAGTATTTTATCACTTCTTCAACAGACTGACCCGGTTCTGACAGAAGAGGAAGACCTGAGGAGGAGGAGTTTGTTTTTTCCTGATGTTCTTGAACGCAGCTTTGAACTGTTGGAGCTACAGCAGCTGATTTAGGACAAACTTTAGATGTTTGAAATAAACGTCAAAAAACAGCGAATTTCTCAAAGAGACAAAAACAAAGTTATAAAATATTAAATCTTTAAGTTTCATCAGAACCTTTCGGGTCCAAATGTTTATAAAGACCAGCTGTGAAGAGAGTCAGAACCTCCGAACCAGGAGCAGCAGAAAAACCTTCATCTGAGGGTCCAAAGACCTGGTCAGACCTGGTCTGGGTTTCTCTATAATCCCACAGACACCCCAGTCTCTCAGTCCTGTTAGTCCTGGACGGACTGGAGCCGGATCGTTCAGGTTTAGACCGTCCACCCGGAGGCAGATCCCGGACCCGCTTTTGGTATTCAGGGTCCGGGATCAGAAATAGTCTGGACTCTTTTGGTCATGTCTGCGGGGAGAGCAAGTCCTTTAGAGGGGAGAGGACTCTGACAGGACGGCCTGTCAGAGGGGGGTCACACTGCAGGACCGGATTATGTAATCCCGGTTTAGAGAGGACGGTTCTGACCCGGTTTAACGGATCCTTTTGATCCAGGTCTTCTTGGTCCGGATCAGACCCAGCAGTGTCACTTTGATTCTGGTTCAGTTTTTGGTCCACGGCGGTCTCTCCGGGTCTCTCCGGGTCCCCCTGTCCTGACTGAGTGACCCGGATTTCATCAGAACCAGAACCAGTCCAGAACAGAACGGGGTTTTCTTCAGTCCCAGATCAACTTTCATTCATTCATTCATTCATTCACTCATTCATTCATCCTCACGGTCAGTGGGAGGGGCTTCTGCCTCCATGCTGGACTCTGATTGGTCCATCAGTGGGCCCTCTTGGCCACGCCCACAGCTGAAGAACTTCTATATAAACTGGAGCTGGATCAGGAGACCCCCAAAGAAGTCCAGAAGATCCAGGTCCTCCACATCCTGAAGACTTAAACCCTCCTGAGATCCACCTGAGACCCGGTGAGTCCAACAACCAGAACCAGGTTCTGATCAGGAGTCCAGATTCTAGAGGATCACCTGTTCAGTGAGATGAAGACTCAGCAGACTCTTCATGTGGTCACCCCGGTCCGGCAGAGCCCCGCCCTCTCCAAGGCTGCAGGGACCCCGGTCTACCTCAAACTGGACTCGTCTCAGCCCACCGGGTCCTTCAAGATCAGGGGGATCGGACACCTCTGCAGAACCGTGAGTGATCCACATCAGCTCTGATTCTTCTCTTCGATCAGCTGATGAATTCAGATTCAACTTTAACTTCAGACTAAAAACTGCAGCTCAAAGTTCCTCACAGACACACACACACACACACACACACACACACACACACACACACACACACACACACACACACACACACACACACACACACACACACACACACACACACACACACACACACACACACACACACACACACACTCACACACACACAGATACACACAGTGTGAGAATTGAAGATCTATAGTTAGAGAGACACGAGCTGACACCGAGACATTAGAGAGGACAGAGAGACAAACACTGGAGATAAAAGAGAAAAAATAAAATAAAATATAAAAAAGAGTAAAAACCTGATGGACTGAAACAAGAAGATAATCTGAAATGAACAGATGAGGAAGAGATTTTTTTTCTAAT